TGCGTGTGTTCACACAGCATAATTATAGGGCAAACAAATGGTTAGCTAAAGCTAAAATACATGGCAAATCCGTCAGCCAAAATAGCATGCGTGTTTGACTCCCGCACATGTGTTTGCATTCACGCCTTTAGAATTGCATATTGCAACAATAAATTCTCTTTTTGTAAAAAAAAGTAAAATGAATACTTCTTTCTTTCATCAAAAAAAAATGTAACATGTTATAATTGGTTGAAAATTAATTATGAATCCTAAATTCCTAAATATTATTTTTAATTTTTTATTGGTAAATAAAAGGATCCATAAATTCACTATTGTGCACTACTTACAAGTCACAAATAAGCTAAACAAAAATTTATTTTTATTTTCTCATATTATTTAGAAAAATGTTTGAAATTGCTTTGATGAAGAAAGCACATTTGATCGATTTATAGACTATTATAATATGATTTATCATTTTATAATATTTACATTTTAGGCAATAAAAACCATTAATTTTTTCCATTTTAATCATCGACAAATGAAAAATAAAACGACGTTTCCAAAATTATTTCAATTATTAAAATTTTTATTGACTTCATTATAATTTAACTATAAACAAATCTTTTACAGTATTCAATAAATATCTTAACAAACATTTCTATGCTTTGATGTTTTCATTGTTGGAACATCACGAACAGCAAAATTGAAGTTAGTACACCAAATTGCAAAATAGTACAAATTTTCCTCCAAAATTCGTGAGAAGTAGACAAATGCAACAATATGATAATTAATTTGTAAAATCAGATAACTGCCGGATCGTTCAGCTGATAAACCGCGTGCAGCAATTACCGTGTGCAAATTGCGTGCACCACTTGCACCAGCCGACTGACCGGCCGCGTGTGCATCTCTAACGGGAAGGCTGCGCGAGTGTCCAGCTGTGAAAACGCACTCACTTTTTACTTCCTTACGCGCGAGCTTTACAATCTTAATTGCATTCCCACGGCAAAACAAACACATGAGCCTCGTAAAGTGTTAAATAACAGCCGAAGATTGCATTTCACTTTTTTGATTCCGGTGTGGCGCGGCTCTCTCATCACAAAAAACAAAACTGTTTCGTAATATGGTAAACGGACTTACGCGCATCGAGTTAAATTACGACGACCGCCGGGATAGCGATTTTTATTGGAAAAGGGAGCGCTGCTTTCTATCGGACTTGCCTCTTACCCGATCTGGTGTGCTCTCGGAAATGGATTCTCTACTCGGGAGGGATAACCTGAGGCAAATACGTGCATTTTTAATGCAACTGGTCATGATACAGAAAATTACTATTTCATTGAAAGCAGCTTAACTTGTACATGATGCCCCATAAATATTTATGGTAATAATTAAGTTTGGGCAAAATCACATTCTTAGAATTTTTTAACATTGCTCAGAAAAAATCGCAATTATTTGGGAAAAAAATCATGGAGTAAAGTCCCCGGTACATAAATAAAACAATAAAAACAATTTTAAATTAAATTGAATTAAAATGTCAAACAAAAATAGTCTTTTCTTTTACTTTGAAATTATTTATTTCCAGAGAGGAATGTTGAATTTTTCCTTTCTTTTTAATATTGCTTCAAAAATAAATTTCTCTTCCTACAGGCTGCAATACCTTGGTGATCTTTTATTAATGAAATGTATGACATGATGTGCTGATGTAATTTGATGCGTTACGTGCGCGTCTGCTGTAATTGCAGACATTAATTTAAAAGCTCTCGTTACCGCATTTGAGGAAAGCTTTATAATGAGACGTCCAGCTACCAGAGAAATGCATTCAATACGAAATGGTTTTCGAATAAAATATAAACTGAAGAATCACGCACTTCCTTGCATGAAAAATTATTTTACATATTTGATAAATTTATCTATGTAATTAATAATGCAGTTAGATAAAAATATTATATTATATGCATAAATTATTTCCTAACCATATTTTTGGTAAAAATTATTTGCAACTAAAAACTATATATGGAGAATCTGAATTTTATCATGAGCATAGCAAAACAATATCATTTGAATATAGATTATAATTTATTTTTTTTTTACAATTGTGAGACATCCCATGCGCTTTAAAGTAATACAAATTGTTTCTAATAAATCAAATCCGCTTGTTTTATTGCTTGTTTACAATCGGAGGTTTTGCAGCAAAACATGAAAACACTTTTATGAGACCAATAAATCTAATTCCTATCTTTCCGTTCCTTGCGGCAAAGCCTCAATGCCCCAAAAAATTATTTGCGCCTGAAGAATCTATCTATTTTACAGTGGCTTATAAAATTTCTATTTTTACCAATGAAATTTTCAAAACATGTTACAATAACATGTTGTGGAACTGTTTTTAAAAATATTTTCAACTGCTGTGCGCGTAACCGCAGACAATTTATTCTGCAGAGTGTTTGGGTACTGTGCAAAAAATGCACGCCTGATAGTTAATTGTATGCGGCACAACTATTTGCATAATGAGAGCAGAAGGTACACGCGCGCAAAAACACCCAGTGGCCAAATAAGATGTTTAGCCTGTTTGCTGATTGTGCAACGAACTAAAAAATTGCAAGCCTCTCTGGTTCAAACAGGTGAGCAATAAAAAATTATATAATAAATGCAAAATCTTTCACTTTCATCTTGGCAGCTGGAGTCATAGAAAATACTTAATTGAATATGACAACTTTAAATGTGATCTCCTCGAAAATAAATTTGTCCATCGAGGCTATCAATTTCTTAGCATAGACATCCGAGAAAACGGACTGTCATGGGAAAATAATGATTAACGAAGAATAAATTTCTAGAATTTTCTAAAATAAAAATATGTAACGGAAAACTAAAATATTTTTTTCTTGCTTACAAATTGGCAAAATCAAAAAATGGTTGGCGTAAAAATTAGCTCAAAACTGGCACGCAGTTTTTTCACCTGATTAAAGGACGAGCATTCATGTCGAAAAGTAAACAATAGCAAAACCACTGACGCAATCACAGAAACTCTCACTATTTTAAGCAAGTGTCAAACTTTTGCATGGAAGGAAGCGACCATTTATTTCGATCGCGTTTTCGCACCAGAAGCCGCGCGTACGTGTTGATGTTTTTCGGCGGCGCGAACGCCGCGAACATCAAGGTACTCGCGACGCCCCAATGACCGCATGTCATAAACGCAACCTGCAATAATTCTGCTCGCGGGATCGCCGCGCGACGAGCTGCGAAACTTACGCACCGCTCAGGAAAAGAAACCCGCGAGCACCGAGCACCACCCCACCCCGCGTCCAAGGTATAAAACCTGCGCCAGCCCTGCGTTTGCCATCAGTCACTCAATCGTGTGCTCAAAGGATTCAAAGCAATCACAAACCAACAAACAACAATGGCTTCCGTCAAATTCATTGTGAGTACAAAATATTCATTATTAAGTGAAATATTTATTTTTATTAAATTTTAAAATTTGTACTTCAGGTCCTCCTGGTCCTGATCGCCGTCGCTATGGCTGCTGCCAACCCCCTTTTCTTTGGACCCAAGCAGTGAGTACCCTTATCACTATATTGAAGATAAAAAATAATTCAAATCAATAATATCTTTTTTTAAATAGTCAGCACTACATATTTTATAATTTTTTAAATTATATTTAAAATTCCTATTTTATGCAAAATATAAATTATTTGCAAATAAATTGTTTTTAAAATTAATCCAAATGTCAAAAAATTATATTAATATATTCAGCTACCAACCATGAATTTATATTGATATATTGTTTAAAACTTCATATTTACCATCGATTGTATTTTCTTAGTGAGCATCACATCATCCACGTGCCCCAGCACATCCACACTGTCAACCACCACATTATCTCTAAGGTGCCCGTCCCCGTCTATGTTGAGAAGCCCGTCTTCATTGAGAAGGACTTCCACGCTGGCTGGTGGTAAACAGCTCTTTAAAGCCCAAGTCTGAGGGTCAACGCGCTTACATGCATCAACTGAAACTTTTAGACATCCTTTTTTTTAAGCAGGGCCACTTCCCATGGTCCATTCTCAAAATTCAAAAACATGTTACCCCCATCTCCATCTTTTCATTCACCAGCGTGGAATTGTGTTAAAAGTTTCTTCTGGCCTGTGTCTTCTATTCTCATCAAATTGCCAGAACAAAATCAGTCTGATTTGTACATATTGCTATAAATGTGATTTTTATACTACTGGATATTTTTAATAAAGTACCAATTTTATATAAAAAATAAAAATAAAATGCAATTTTATTAAAAGGAAACCTTACAACGTGTTATATACTCATTTGATAAAAGAATTAAATTTATTATTTTATTCGATTGTGTTATAATTCTTAAAAAATAGCTGAGTTGGCACCTAACATCCTAGTTTTTTTTCTCTTCTTAAAGATGCATGCAATATTAAAATTTATGATATAAATTGCCTGTCATAAAAACTAGTTTTGCAGATTACGTGATTGCAGTCTGGTCAGATCAGAGAAAGTGCTCCCGTTTGCAAATTGCTATTATTTCACGGGCGGTGCAGTGTGTGACTCCCCTATCCAAAAGTTATAATTGAGCACAGGTTTTATCACTGCTAGTGTGAAGTAATCCTTTATTTGCTTTCTCCTCAGGACAACATTCCACTTGCGGACTGCAGAGCAAAGAAATCTTGTCAATCTTGATTAGAGAGTGAAATAGTAAAGCCACCCAAGAGAAAATGGTATATTTTATGTAAAATGAATTAATTTGTATTTAAAAATTCATTGTGTTTCTGCTGATTGGTACAGTATTAACTTTTTAAATAATTTTTTATGAATGCTTGTTTCAAACACCAGTTAAAATTGTGAGGTAAATTCAATTCAAATTATTTCAAAATCAGGATTATTTTAATCATTAAAAATTTCTTTTGCTGCAGTTAGTGGAGTTTCATTATGGGACTGATTGTCTTGGTTTCATGAATGACCATAACCATGATTTATACATGGTGGTATTTTTTCATAAAATTAAAGTCAGTGTATCCTATATATGAAAAGATTTTAATAATGAATAGTTCGAATAATTGATTATATTTTTATAGTACATTTCAAAAGTATTTACAATCATCATCTTAATAGATTAGAGGGAACAACATAGTGTTCCCCGAAAAGAAATGACACAAGAACTGTCAACCAAGTTCATCGCAGACAAGCCTTGTTAATTTCAAAAACAGAAATAAAATATCTGCATTTTTTCTCAGAATCACATTAAGAAACTCAACAACTCGGCCCTTAAAACAGGGTCACATTTCTATCTATCAATATAGGAGGATAATATACAACTTTCTCTCTCAATTAACGTTTAAAATGATGGTTCCGTTGCCACTTGTGACCAAATTTTCTGTTGTCGTGTCGGTTGTTGTTTCCACGGTGATAGTGGTTATTGAAGGGCCTGCTGTTGTTTCCCCTATATGATTGATGCGAGCCATGCGACCTGTTTCGGTCAAAGTCACCATTGTACTTCTTGAAGGGCCGTCGATCGTTGTCATAACTTCTGTCGTAATGCCTGTTGAAGTCCCGATCCTCCTTTCTTCTCCAATCTGCCACTCTCTGGAATTTATTCCCCTCATGGTGAGAGTGTTGGCGATCTTGATCGTAGCTCTTAAACTTCTTCCTCTGTAAAAAAATATTAGATAAAGTGAAAAAATTTTATTGCTAGTTGTCTTACCTTTCCACCATCAAATTCATCATAATCATTATCTTTTTCCTCATCCCTCTTTCTCATCCAAAAATCTTCACTGACTTGCTTATCAATATTACTTTTGGTGCCGTTCCAAGACCTAACTGAAATTTAAGAACAATCAATAACAATACTTCATTAACAGGCAAAAGTCGGAAAAAAAATTATACAAAAAAAAAAATGCTTACCATCAGCACCCCCATATCCTTTGAGACCATGCTTAGGTGTTACTGAGGAAATGGAACCCGGTAGCAAAGGGCCGTAATAATCATGCTGTTTACTTTTGTTGAACGCAGAGGTTGAGCTGACTGTGTTGACGTAGTCGCTACTAGCATTAGTGTCGACTTTCAATTTGTCTTTTGGCTTCTCTATCCATTCCATTTCTTCATTCTCAATAGCGTCATGCCTAAAGATAAATTGTAAAACAACTGGTATTAAAAAAAGGAAACCCTTACTTTCTCTTGAGGTTTTCCTTGGGCTTCTCTTTCTGTGTTTCAAGAGCCTTTGCTGCTTGAGCTTCTGTGACTACCCAACTAGGATTGGTGGACACCTTTATGGTTGTCTGACTGGGAGGTGTCTTGTCAGCAGACGATACACTCCACGAAGAAGAGGTTGACTTGACCTGAAATTCACAGTGTTATTTCATTCAAAAATTGAGCTTTCTTTTTTAATTCTTACATTCGGACGTGTCTGAGAATCTTTAGGAGGCTCCACTTGTGGTAAGGAGTGGTAGCCATTTACTGCACTTGGGTTACTTTCGGAAGAGGATGACTTTGTTTCCACAACTCGGGGAGCAGACTTTGGCAAGCTTGCTTCTGGACACAAAGGTCCTGGTGCAGGATTTGGCTTTGATTTAGTTGGAGTGGTCCTAGAATTATCATCTTCATGCTCATCGCTTGAATGGTCATCTTGGTAAGGAACAAGAACTGGCAAGCTTGGGAGACGTGAGACTGATTTTGAAATACTGTTTTGAAGTCTGAATTTAAGAAAAATTATTAGCTACTTAAAAAATAATAAAAAAAATGTGCAGCTTACCCTTCAGATTTGTTAGTGGAGCCATTTGTTTTCTCTGCATTGTTGTAACTATAGGTGTTGACCAAATTTTTGGATGGATGGTTTGGATTAAAAACAACTTTGTTTGACGCTTGATTTGGAGGGAGAATGATTTTCTCTTTTTGATAAAAGATGATTGCAGGTTTCGGAGCAGGAATCGTTCCAGGTGTGAATGACTTGACTGGCTTAGGAGCCGAAAGCGAACTAGGGATGAACATGTGTTGGTTCATGGGCTGCGAGGACAAGGCTGCAGTAGGAGGTTTAGACGGTCCGGCTAGCTGCTTCTTTGGTTCCAAAATGTACATCAACACATAGACATCTGTGCCAGAAAAGTTTCTTTGATACTGCTGCTGAACCTGGAATAAAAACAGCAGTTTATTAACCATACCATAGAACTTGTATTACAAAACTTACACAGGTATCATCAAAAATGTACAGGTTGTTGTTATGGGCATAGGCCATTGTTGTGTAGTGCCCTGAATGGGCGGAGTGACCCAAGTGGTTTACTCCAGCTACTAAACGATAGACGGAATTATTGTGATGGTAGTTGTTTGCCCTCGGCTTGTATTTATGAAGATGTATTCTTTCGTTCAACATGATCTTCTTTCCTATTTTCTTTCCTTCTATGCTAAATCTGAAGAAAAAAATATATTTTTTTTTAATTTCAACCTTTCAGATTCTGATAAAAACCTTTTCAGCTGGATGCACAGGACATTAGGTGGTCTTTCCACGAAAAACTGCTTGGTTGCCGGCACTTTCTTTTTGCACTTCTCACATCTGTACGAGTTATCTTCTAAGCGCTCCTGAGCAAAGTAGTTGTCCAGGGCATTGTCCAACGTATTTGCTCGGGTGATGTCTAAAGTGAGGTCCAGGAAGTGTTGGAAGGTGGTGCTTACAGCATGACATGACATACAAGTGACTGCAACAAGTCAGTTATTTATATTATATTTTTGAAAAAAAAAATAATAATAATAATCAATCACCTTCTGTCCTGATGTAGCCACCAAATATTTGGTTCAGAGGAGTTGTCTCTTTTGAACGGTTGTCAAGCCTGAAAGAGTTACGCGATTGTAAGTAAGGAATAGTTCACAAAAATTAACAAGACTTACTTCAGTCCATTGTGTCTCTGTAAGTACGACTTTTCCATTGATTCTAGTAGATATCTGAGAAATTCCATTGCATCTTCTTGATGACCAACTTGAAGCCTTTTGCAAATTGCTGCAAATAATTTTCACATTATTTTAAAGCTTGCATGGTTACATCTCATTCCTTTAAAAATTAATAATTTTCATATTACTTTATAAATGATACATTCTGCGCTCCAAAGAAAATTTATTTTAAAAGTATGAAGCGTTTAAAAATAAAATTAGATTAATATTCTATTAACTCACTCCTTAGTTTATTTAGGATGAGCACAGGTCTTGTTGAATCACCCGTCCTAACCTGGCTGTTCTTCAGGGTAAGAGCCATGCAACAGACAATGCAGTCTTGGCCGCAGTTTCCTGATAAAACATTCGTTAATTATTTATTATTTTGCCACCTAACATTAAAATGTATACTCACTGTAGGTAGCACAGGAATTCTGGTGCTCTTGATCTCCAAATTGGAGCCAGTTAAAGAGAGGAGGGATGTGGAAAAGAGCCTAAAAAGGAAGTTGTAAAGGTTACTTTTTATTATTTACAATTGCATCTCTTTTTTCCCCCGATTTAAAATTTTTCTATTGGCCGATAAGAATAAATAATCATAAAATAATCAAAATTTTATAGTTAATAATTTACCTGCAAAACTGAGTTCAAGTAGCAGGTGTTGCCAGCGTTAGAGAAGCCTGAGCCAACTTTGCAGATCTTATTTGCCTGCCAGACCATCTGCACCTTATCCATTTGGAAGAGCGTTCGAGTCGGCAAAGCAAGAACATTGTCCTTGTTGGGCTCTGGACCACCGTTCCTCACAGCAGCCGGCGCACTGCTCAACTCGGAGGCATTGTACTTTGCCTTGAGCTTCTGCAGCACGGAGGAGTAGTAGGTGTCATTTGAAGTCTCATAGGCAATGTCAGGCACCATCTTGGCTACCGAGGCCATGCGGTGCTGGATGAGGGACTCTCCGCCACCGTTCTCCAAAGCGGCCAGTTTGCTGTTCGATGACCAGATGGACATTTGCAGCGAGGCCGAAATGCTTTCGTTCACCGAAGCAGGCATTTTGTCTCTAAAAATGTAACATTTTGTTTATATTATTAAAGTAAAACAAATAGATTTAAGAAAAATAGCAATATTATTTCAGAACGTTTCATGAAGACAAGGCGTTTAACGTTTTTCATTAGTTTAATAGCAGGTTGTTTCTTGTTATTATTTGTGTCAAGGCTGACAATGACGCTGAAGTTAGCCACGAACACAATCACTAACACCCTACTGCATTGGAAGATAATCAATAATTTTTAATCAAATTTAAGAGCCGAAAAAATGAAATAGCTATGCAAAGTCTTTTAAGATCAATAATTTCCAAATCAGCAGAGAAAATTCTTTGCATTAATTTACTTCGTAGGGCGGCTTAATGTATCTGTACCACGTGCGGATGAAAATTGTGTTCCCCGTTCTCCATTCCATAAGCGGGTTAAGTAAATCACACAGGGATCGATAAATAGGGGCGAATTTTAGTGCAAAGATTTAAAATTTGCATTTACCTGGTTTGGTTTTCAACCTGCACCGGCAAAATAATAAATTACGGTGTAGTAGATGGGCTGAGTCGGCCGCACGGCCGCAGCTGCACTGCAAACTTGCGGATGCACGATCAGCCCGAGAAAACACGGTTACCGGTCAAAGTGTCCCGCAAGTCAGAATCGCGCTACTTCCAACCTTGCACTGCACTTTCCAGCCTACAGGAAACCAGAGAAAAGAAAAGTTTGGGCCGACTTCAAACTATAGACGTATTGACGTCGAAAAAGTCGGGAGCGGGCCGATTAGATTAACTTGGCGGCGACGGCCATCTTTGTTTATGACCATGGCCATGGCGGATCTGGCCGAGGCGACAACCAGCGGCGGAAAATGTAACAAAAATTGCCAAATTTAGAGGTGGGGGTAAGGGGAGAGTCGTGAGCCGACAGGGGAAGTGAGAGCCAATCCAAACACAACACCCAACCCCTTTTGCTGGTCCAACAACTTAGTGTCCAGTTCAGAAGCCGCCACGTCCTCTTTTTGTCCGTAAGATCTCTTTTTCTTCCCTTGATTGGTGCGATCTTTTTGAGAAAATTTTAACCCGTTCTTCCTTATTCAAACCACATCATGATTTGGTGCTAGATTTTCAACCAAAAATATTTATTGGCGTCTGTAAACTGGTTTTTAAACAGCCGGTATGACAACTAACCAAACAATAACAGATTTCAGTTTTTAAATTTTTGTTTAAAAAAAATTCAAACTTTATCCACCGGTATAAATTAAAAGTATAATTATAATGACAAAACTTCTCTCTAGGTTGATTGACGCTATATTTGGATAGTCGGCTTTATCCTGGTGAATTCTCTAGGAGACGAACAATGGCAAGCAAACCTGCACCAGCAAAGGACAACATCATCAAAGAGGAGGTTTGATGATACCATTATTATTAATTCATTTTCAAGAATACTTTTTTATATTTTAAAGAATGACGACATCTTCATAGAGGAGGTTTGATATATAATTTATTCATAAATTCAGCCTTGATCGTACTTTTTATTTTAAACGTTTAACTCCAAAACCGTTTTTGCAAATTCAAACTCTTATTATTTTTAATTGTTGTTGCGAAACCTGAAAAAAATTGTATTTTTCAGCCTATTAAAGTTAATAAGTGGGATGGATGCGCTGTCAAAAATTCATTGGATGATGCTGTCAAATTGGTAATAATTATACTTGTGTACTTAATATTTGAGATTTAATATGTCTTTGCATTGTAAAGGCTCTTCAGAAAAAGTTTGATTACCAAGAGAATTACGCCCTAATGGACGGCAGACTCGCCATGTGCAGTGTTGCCGTCGGAGTGGCCATGTTTGCCATGCTCTGGGATTTCCTCTACCCTTTCCCTCAGTCTAAGTATTTATTTCTATTTTCCTGAAATTTATAGTTATAGTGGACTTTTAAAGGCCTGTTTTGATCATCTGTGTGGCGTCGTACTTCATCCTGATGGGTCTGTTGACTCTTTATACAACTTTCAAAGAAAAGGGCATCTTCGTCAAGGCCACCCAGAAAGATCCTGCTGGTTTCAAGCCTGACAACATGTGGGAGGCCAGCTCGTACATCAAGAAGTAATAAATTTTACAAATTATATCATTGCAAAATTTAATTCTTCCTTTGTAATTAGGTATGATGACAAATATCTGCTGGTGCTGACCTGCACTGATGGAAGGACCAACAATGTCTCCGAGGCTTCTTTGACAAAGTCTGTGGCATGCTTCTTCGACTCAAATGGTGAACTGCTGCAGGACTTGGTTGATGCAGAAGTCGTCAAGGTTCACAATCAAGCTCTCGCAGGTTTGAAGCACGACTAGGTTCCACTTTGTAAGTTAAGTGTTTTTGGATTAAAATATATAATAATAAGTAAAAAAACAATAAAGCTAAAATTGTCGCTGTTATTGTAACAATATTTTGTGATGTTCATTTATATATTCCTAGAGTAATATTTTGAGTTTACAAATAAATATAAAAATGCATAGGATTTAAAATTAATTGATTACAAAATATTAGGAAATTTATTCAAAATATGAAACAAATCAATTGCTTATCATCTAAATTTGATGAAATGAATCAATGCCCTCCCAACCAATTTTGGACAGTCAACCTCCGTGTAGTGTTGAAATAAAATGAACCTCGTCTCCATTACAAAGTTCGTAATCAGTCTGCCCCTGCAAATTTAAAGATCAGCATTTTTTTTTAAAAGTCTCACGTTCAGAGCAAGTCTTACAAGTAGATCCCAGTCAGTGTCGTTGACTAAAACTAAAATTCCAGGCCTCCTGCAAAAAAGAAAAGTATTAATTTTGAGCTTCAAATCTCTGCGAAAGTTTTTGTTTTTACACTGAGTCGCCTTTTGCAAATAGCTCCTGCCTACTCTTCATTTTATTGTCCCGTATCCATGAGATTAACCTCCTCAGATCCCCTGAAAATCAATTTAAACTCTGGCTTTAAAAAGAAGCGATAATAACCAATTAAAATAATTACATGTCAGGTCATCCTTCTGTAAACTTAGCTCGTGTTTCTTTATGTTGTCAAACAAAATTTCTGCACCGCCACTGCAACGATTCATGTTTGAATTGGAATATAAAACTCGCATATTAACAAGAAATTAGACCTACCTGAAATGGATTGAAATCTTTAATACATCGGAGCTCATTTTTGAAATTTTAGCAAATTTATTGAGAAAAAAAACCTGCGGATAAAAAAATTTTGTTTACTGCATTAAAGGGGGTTTGGCCCAGTCTAGCCATTGGATTGGATGAATCAGGAGTTGGGATTGGCAGAATTTGAAACTAACAACGCGCGGATTTTCAAGCTCCGATATTTTGCTGCATCGCCTGTATGCTAAAGAAATGAAATATGTAATAATTATTATCAAATCGCAGAAATAGAACATTACATTATTTTGCATTATTTACATTACTATTAGAATTGAATTCTTAGTTTTTTATTTACTAAATATTACTTACTTTTATTCAACCCAGGACATATATAAATATCAATTGTTTAGGGCACTTTTTATCCTTTTTATTGCACAATACAATTCAATTCATATTTTGATATAAGGAGAGAGTATCTAAAAATAGTAACATTCTTCTTAAACTTTTTATTCATAGACAAAATAAGATTCTTCCTCTTAAACAATCAGTATATTTATTAATAATTCATTTTTATGGCATCTTGTTTCATTTCATTGATTTATTGCGTTAGTTGGCAAGTTTGACTAAAACACTCAACTCACTAAAAGAGAGAGGAGGCAAATGCAGAGGCTTCAATTTTTTGCAGGTTTTGCGAACAGTCGTCAAAAATTCGCAAGGCACTTATACATTTTTGTTAATTTCATTACTTAAGAATACTCCTGCTTGAGATACTTGGCCACAGTGTTGAGCTGGATGTTGGAGGTGCCTTCGTAGATGCAGCCAATCTTGCAGTCACGGTAGAATTTCTCCTGGGGAAAGTCTCTTGTGAAGCCAACACCGCCCATCCATTCGACGCAGCGAGAGGTCGCTTTTGTTGCCACCTCTGTAAGGAAAATTTTTTAATTTAATTTGAATGCCTCGAAATTGGTGTAATGATACTGACCTGACGCAAAATACTTTGCAATGGATGCAATCTTGATGAAGGGCAGACCGGCCTCCTTGATGCGGGCAGCATTGTAGACGAGCAGGCGCGCAGCCTCAATCTCAGAGTGCACTTGGGCAATTTGGTGTTGCATGCCCTTAAAAAAGATAAATTTTCATGATAACTAGATTTTCTATATAATATTATACATATCAATAGAAAAAATTGGCTTGCCATGTTGATTTTTTGAAATTTCTCATCTTCCAAGGAAGGTTTTCATAATTTTTTTTTTTTTATTTTAAGTATATTTATAGATAGGAAAAATTATTTTTACCAATTTTGGTATTCATTGGATGTTCAATTTAAGTTTAATTAGATAAAAAAATTATATCTCAATTAAAAAACCTAAATAAAATAAAGTTTTCCAACCTGGAAGTCATAGATCGACTGTTTGAATTGCTTGCGTTCAAGTGTGTATGGGATGGTGGCATCAAAGCAGCCCTGGGCCAGACCAACCATCTGAGCGCCAATGCCGATACGGCCCTCGTTCAGCATTCCAGCGGCATATCTGTAGCCTTTGCCAAACTCGCCAAGAATGTTACTCTCTGGGACCTGCAGAAAATATTTAAAATCTCGTCTAAAGAGCCTAAAACGAGGGACTCACCCTGACGCCATCAAAGTGGACCATGCAGGTTCCGGAGGCGCGGATTCCGAGCTTCCTCTCCTTGGGGGCAACGCTCACGCCTGGCGTGTCACGGTCCACAATGAAGCAAGTGATGCCACGGTAGCCCTGAAAATGAATTGAAAAATTTATCAAAGAAAAAAAAATAAGCCTAAAAACTTCCATATATTTTAATTTTGAAATAACTGACCTTAGAAGGATCAGCGTTGGCCATGACAAGGAAGACCCCAGCGACGTCTGAGTTGGTGATCCACATTTTGGCGCCATTAATGATGAAGTGGTCTCCATCCTTCTTGGCCTCGGTCTTGAGGGAGAAGGCATCAGAGCCAGCAAGAGGCTCTGAAAGGCAGAAGCTGCCAACCATGTCCTGCGAGAGGCGCGGCAGGTACTTTTTCTTCTGCTCCTCGTTGCCCAGCTGTGCCATCAGGTTGACCACGAGTGTGTTGTGGACGTCACAGGCAGCAGCCACTGAAGGGTCGATGCGGGACAACTCCTCAACGACCAGCATTGAGGAGAAAAAGGAGGCGCCGGTGCCACCGTACTCCTCAGGTACCTCAATTCCCATCAGCTATAAAGTAATACAAAATAAATTAATTATAATCTTTTATAAAAAAAAAGTAGTATTAGTAATCCAGTGCAACTTAAAAATTAAGAAATAAATAGAATAATTAAACTTTCAACATATTTCTAGATTTCTAGAATAAATTTAAAAAAAAAATCATTATTTTTATTTAAAATTTAAATTTGATTGTTTATCCTATACATTCTGCATATATAAAAAAGTAAAAAGAATTATTGTGCAACAAACTGAGTTTCATTATAACAAAAACCAACAAAAACATTTAACAGTTTAAAGAGTGAGCATTGAAAAATCGCCTTACTCCATTCTCAAAGAGAGACTTGAGCACGCCCTCGTCAATCTTCTCCTCCTCGTCCATCTTCTTCACAAGCGGAGCAATTTTCTCTGTTGCCAATTTGCGCACTGCCAATTCAAGAACACATATTGAAATTATTACCGATTATCACAGCTTCATTAACGTCAGTAAACAAACTTCAAGTTTAAAAATTGCATCGAGTTATATTAAACTACCATTGGGATCAAAAAAGAAAATTGCACATTTCCGAACCTGTATCCCTGAGCATGGTTTCCTCATCAGTGAAGTGGGTGAGTGGAGCGCCCTTTTCAACGGTGTGGTTGTTCCTCTTGGCCAGAGCGCCGCTCACAGCCCGCCTGCCCACGAGGAGAGCAGTCTGGAATCATCATAATTCCATTTATTTTTCTTGCAGAATTTTGTGACAAATTAAAATAATAATATATTAAAATATTGCAGTATTTATTGTGTGTATATGTTCTGAAAGAGAATTAAGCTGATAGGGAGAGGATTAAAATTAGGAAGATAAAGCTGAAGTTAAAGCATTCTCATATTTGTGCGTGTTATTAATCTTTTTGTACTTTCACATCAATTTCATGGGACACAAAATGCAGAAATGAAATACTGTGAATTTCATGTCTAAAATAATTCTCTGAATAATTATTTAATGCAGTTTTGATAACCTCTGGATCTGGAGTGCATGATTTGAAGTTAATTGATCAGTAAAAAAGTTATCATAAATTTTAACTTTTCGAAATCTCTTATTCGTCTGCTTAGTATTTTGCCTTCGCAACAGTTGAGAACTTGAAGCAAAACCTTGCGACCTTGATCTTGGAAATAAATAAGAAGCTCTACTCTACACGCGTGGCTAAAAATCTCGCCAGCGCCCCGCGAATAAACTTCGCGCAGACGAAACACGATTCAAAAATGTGCAGAGCTAGCAAAAATTTTGTCAGGTGGAATTTGAACTGCTTTTATAGTAAATGCGAAATATTTATTTCTGTTAAAGAGATTGCAGGTTGCTATGTGGCTTGTTCTGTTTCTAAATAAATACATATAGGGGTCTGCAATTTGTTAGCGCTCGCTGAAGATAATGAGAATTATGACACCACGCCGCCGCACTGTTATCTTTCAGGACAAGCTTTCAATTAATTTTTATTCCAAAATATAGGTTGCAATCAGGAACAGTCAAATGAAAATAATTATATAACAGGATTAGTGCGGATTATTAAGTAATTTTTGTTTCGTGATGAGTTTTCCTTTTAAATATATGAAGAAAAAAAATTAAATTTGTGGAATTTTTTTTAAATTATGTAATGACTGTACAATATACGTGTTGATTGGGGTTGAGCGCCCCAGTAACAGTTGTTGAGCACTTAGGCGCCTGCTGGGGGCGCCTAAGTTTTTGCTTAATACGTTGCCCAAGCAAAACATTTCAGTGGAGTGAAAAATATAAAAAATAAATCAACGGGAGAGAAACTCACCCCTCTGGAGCCGAGATGCCTGAGTCCGTTCATCGTCTCTTGTGAAATTAATGTGAAGAGAGAAAATCTTGGTTGAGTGCGGGAGGGAGACCTTGGGAGGCAGAAAAATACACAAATCAATTCGTATTCTCGCGAGGCCGACGCGAAAATCGGCCAGGGGGCAAAAGTGTATGATTAATTTGCATTCGCTGGGTAATTAGCGATTACTTAGCGCGGACGTGTTAGCAAATAGAAAAAAATAAATAGGAGCAAGTGAATGAAGACAACTCACGAGCGAGCCTTCTCGCGGACGAAAGAGCGACAGAAGAGAGAGGGAGAGAATTTTTAGTTGGGCTGCTTGGGGGCTCGGTCGCGGTCGCTCCTCTCTTCTCGCGGCCGGCGAAAAGAAAGAACGCGGAGGAGGTGGAAGAAGAGGGAGCAGGATCGCAGCCAGCAACCGGAGGCGCACGTACGCAACGCACAAGGCCGCGGCCAGAGAGATCTCGAGAGAATTAAACAGTCAGACCGCAACGAACGCGATGAAAATGCAAAATTATAAAAGCAGAAAATCTTTCAGCAATTTTCAACAATTAAATGTGAATGGAAAATTAAAATTTAGTTGTTGTTTGTTGTCCATCAATCGTCTTTTTTAATTTTAGGCATAACAATCAAGTTAAAATTTCATTGTCTTTCAATGCTCGCAAAATTGACTTTCTTTCAAATGATTTCAAAATGAAATAAAAAGAAAAATTCAATTAATTTTTTTCTTCCTCTTTATTAGGTGTCGCTTTATTAGACCTCTGCTGGTTGTGAAACTATTTCTGCTAATTATTTTTCTCAAATTAATTTTTTTTTAATCGTGAATTACGCATATTATATAAGACAAATAATACAAAAAATATTCATCTTGATTTGTAGACTTCCATAATCCATTTTCCTCATAAGCACAAAAACAAATAAAACCTATATTATATAATATGTATAATAGGGCATTAAATTTCAGGTTTAGTGGTAAGGAACATAACTTAAATTGCTTTTGAATTTTTGTGAAAAAAAAATCCGTCTGCATAATTCTATTTAGCTATTAAATTTTTAGAATTAATGTTCAAAGGTTGAGTTGTTTTAATAAGAAACGGCACGTTTTTTTTATTTTTAATGCTTTTTATTTTTATACATGATTTTGTGGTTGGTTGATTGGTGATCTAGTTTTCATTTTTTTTTCTCGTAGGACATGTGTTTGTTTTTATTTTAATGTACAATATAATCTTTTCACTTTTATTTTGCAAGATATACACTCTTCAGAATTTCATTCGTATTTTATTTACAGATTTTCATTCATTTTTATTTTCCTCTTCCTCCGACAAATCATTTTTATTCTGCAAGACCTTTCATTTCCGTCATTTCGCTTTTTTCTACTGCTTCATCATGATGGATGAGAATGAGAATTAATGCTTAATTATTTTGTGTTGCACTAAACTCAGAGTCTAGGAGGCTATTCCTTCGTAACATTATTTTAGACCACTTTGACACATAAAAAGGAATTTTTGATCAACATCTCTGCATTTAATTTGTTTTTTTTTTAGAAGTTTTCTCTCATAAGTAATTTTTCCTGCTTTCTCCCTTCTTTCTCTCTCTTTTTGCTAATAAATATATATATTTCGTAATCTTACGTTGTTACAAATATTTTCTCTCATGTTTTAGTAGATGCGTGGGTGTGCTCTCTTTATGTTCCATCAAAGTTATTAAACGGTGGTATAATTATGTATGAAGTATGAAATCAATTTTCCATGCGCCGCACAAGCTTTGATTTTCTAACAATAAGTTGCGTTTTTATTATACAGCACAATGCCGATTTTGGTCACAAATCTTACAGAAATAATTTCTAGTGTGAATAAAATAAAATCTGAGAAGATGTAGAGCTACGGAGAAAAAAACTTGAAAATTTAGACGAGGACAAATAGAACGTGCTTCACACCAAAAAGTGATGAGAGTCTGGCCAAATAAAAAATCAAAAAGAAAATGCAAAACCCTGAAACCGAAAACGTTTTTGTGACCAACGTGACAGAGTGACTCTCGCAGTTGCATTTTTTTATTAATTGATTTGTTTTTTGATTGCCTTCGAAAGTTGTCACTTAGGAGCCACTCTGTCCAACCGTTTTTTGTTTAAATTTGTACTTTTGAATTTTTGTGACGTTCAACAAACAAAGTTACACATTATGAGAAACATTATCAAGTGCGGAGCGCACACAGCAATCAACCTGGTCAGTGGTAATCTCATTGCCATTGGAGCTCAGTACACATTTATATTTGCATTGAAACAAAATTAATTAACGATTAATGTTAAGGCCCTCTTGCACGTTAGGTTTATTGGAAACACACACTCGGCGCTTGAGTCGTAATTATTATTTGCTTTCTCTTAAGTGTTTTTTTTTTAATTAGTCCTCTCGCAAAAATATATAATCGTCTCATTGAAATAATTATATCACATTTTGTATTGACTGGCTTTACACAAAATATACAAAAAACAGCACACAATCAACAAACACAGACAGACAGACAAGACCTCTCTCTGTACAATGGCAATAAGATTAGTTGGTTTGCACTTGTCAAATTATTATTTAAGTAATCCCTGTTCTTCAAATAAAATCATCTCTCGTATATATATTTTTATACACTAACGAGGACACATTCCTTTCGGAAGGACAGAAAATGATAAGAGAGGGGCTGCGGCGCCCAAAGTTGCTCAACATTTAAGGGAGAGGTTGAACGAACTGTGCAAGCCGGACGAAAGTCGAAAACAAAAAGACCCATTACACAGTAATTAACATTTATGAATAACAGTCTCTTGCTACTTGAACCAAAATTTACTGAAGGAAAAAAATGCGAATTCGAGTTTTGTACTTTTCGTCAAGTTTTTATTTCCCGGCTTGCGTTTTGAACATCAGATTCAAAAGAGGAACTAAGCTTTCAATATGAAAGTCAAAATATAAAGGGGGAGCACACTTTGGGTTCCAGACAAGCCCACGCAGGCGTTCAAATTCCGGCACCGAGCCGAAGATGGTTTTCGGATCACACCTCGTTCTTTTCGAGAGAAAAACCGACGAGTCGGGCCGGACGCAGAACGACGAAGAGAGTCTGCTACTGAAGTGTCCACCGAACTACTGGCCGCGCTATGTACAGGTAGAAAAGCACTGAATGAGAACGAGCGAGCAAGTCCACACAGCAGGTATAAAAGAAGAAGTAGGAGCTTTGGTCAGAGTCAAAAAGATAGCGCGCGCACTTGCGAGTCTTTCTTTCTTTGTTTCCATTTTCAGGGGCAGTCTACTCGAAGAGGGCAAGGATGTCGTCGCTGGTGGTGCCACCAGGCGTTCCACTTGCTCCTGAGCTGCTGGCACCGCTCGACGGCGGCGTCGCCAGGTCTGGTGGGTCCAGGTACGACAGCAACTCCATTGGGTCCACCACGTTGTCCGGCAACAACTGAATCCAACAAAATGAAATAGAAATTAGCAAAACTTAAAATTTTACAAAATATAAAATAGAAACTGAAAACGTTCTGATTGTTCTGAAGCAATTGAAAAATCTCACAGTATCTCACTTATGTTATTGATCGTTTAAAAACAGAACATTTTTATTTCTCCAGTCATTAATTTTTAAACATTTTTATATTTTTTTACGCCTTCTGAATCAATAAATGATAGCTTTGATATTACGTTGATTTTTATTTTACTCACATTAAGTGCTTCCTGGCCAGTGCCCTCTCCATCGATTACTGCCGCTGGGTCAAAATTGAGGTCGGAGGGGATTTCTGAGTCTGCCGGCGGAAGGGCGTTTGAAGATGTGTTGTTGCTGCCAGGACCGCCACTCGACAGGTTAGGGTCATTTGGTGGAACGCTTGGTGGGCCGCTGTTACCGCCTCCGGGGGTGTTGGCCTGACCAGGCGTGCTGGCCACTGCCCCTGGTGTGTGTGGAGTGTGAGGTGTATGCGGCATCTGCAACAAAATTGATACAATTATTATTGAGCCGTTCCAAAAATAATGAGGTATAGCAATTTAAACAACAAATTATTATTGAATTAGGTGAATTTCATCTCAAATTTAATAAAATATCGGTTTTACAGTTTTTTTTTATAGAAACTAACCTGGTCATTGAGACTCTTCTCCATGGCGTTGAGCGGGTCAAGCAAGCTGACCGACTCGCTGAGGTGAGACAGGGGGCCTCCGAACTCTTGTCCGGCACTGCTCGGCCCACCTGCTGCAAACTCGTAGCCAGGCCTGTTCATGTTTGTCGAGTTGTAGCCTGACTGTGCGCTGTTCATCATGGAACCACTGGCGATACCTATAAACACAATTATTTTTTATTAATTTTCTTCTGGGAAATTTTAATCCTGAAAACACTACTGTTCATATCAGGAGGAATGTACGGCGACATGACTTGGTGCATTTCCCAGTTGTTCATGGTGGGTAAGGTGAGGCTGCCTGGAGACATCATCTTGTTGTGCCTCTTGGCGCCGCAAGAATCCTCGGACTCGTTTTCAGCCTTGACGTCGTGCACGCTGCTGCTCTTGGCCGTTTTCCAGTTGGCCTGAGCGTCTATGGTGATTTCGTCTGCCTCCGAGTTGGGCCCCAGTTTGCTCAGGATGGCCCAGATGTACTGGTCCACCTCCAGACCCTCCAGCTGTGCAGATTTGCTAAAAGTAACAAATGTACACATTAGAACATGCCCGTTTTTTAGAATTTAGAAATTCTTACTTGCACACTGGACATCGCCACGAGCCGCGCTCGCAGTTCAATTGCAGGTACGATTCGAGATCAAAACATTGTATGTGTTTGCAATCGTGGCCCCTCGCTGGCAGCACAATCTTTTTGAAGGTGATGGGACACTTTAGTGAGACCTGTAAATAAATAATTAAGAAATTAGCAGGCATTTAATTTGACTGGTTAAAAATTAAATAATTTTAATGCAAATTCTATTAACAGAAATTTTAACATAGATTTTAATACATTCTTGATGATTTAGGATTATTCTTTTATTTAAAATGTAATTAATAAAATGCTTATTTAATTTAGATCTATTTTGAATCCTTTGAATGAGAACAAACAGTTAGGAAAAGATATTTTTTTTTTAATCGGGCGTTTTATTAAATTTATTTTTATTTTCATTACCTTGAGAGCAGTTTGCTCCACGCCGTCGGACGGGCCCATTACGTTCGAGGCCGAGTTGCTGAAGTTGCGCTTGATTTTGGAGATGCAGTGGTCGGCGGTGAGAAGCCGCTTGCGGAGGAGACCCTGGAGGACGCTGCGCACGCTGGGCCTGTGTACGAGCTGCAGGACGAAGAGGTGCGAGCAGCAGCAGGCGGAAACTGTGATCTGGATTGTGTTCCTGCCAGCCTGACACACGTCCTTTAGGTACAGCGGCTTGTGAGAGGTCTTGTTCTCGCCGCGGTCAATGTTGAGTGGCGTCGCGTTCACCGACACTTGCACCGACGCTGGCCAGTTGGTGCTCATCTGCCGGTCCTCATGGTGGAAGCACTTGAGCTGCAGCTCCAGGTCGTTGCGCCACATCAGCGTCTGGTGCACAGTTGGCTTCAGCTGGAAGACGTGGTTGCTTACAGCCAGGTTGTGCTCCAGCCGGAATGGAGGCAGGATGATGCCGTCGCGCACCGGGAAAGTCAGCCGCAGTTCATCGTCTGCTAAAACAACGCACAAAATTTGTAGGAAATTAGTGAAAATTATAAATATGATGGAAGCAAGGCAGAAAAATATTGATTTTTAGTAAAATTTTACTTTATTGAAAGTAAAATCAAGAAGTAAAATCAACAATCACATTAGAAAGTGAATTAGTAAAAAGAATAATTTCATTTTTTTCTCTAATAAAATTTTTGATGTAGTCTTATATGATTATATCCTGGTCGAGGATTTAAAATGTTATTTTTATTATATACATAAATTTTTCAAAATTAAATATGTCACAATTTAAATACAAAATAATTATCAGGACTCACTTTGCACAGGAAGGGGAGGTTTCATGTCGCTGACCGGCTTGACGTCACCCCCAATATTGGGTTTGACGTCCTGGTTGGGGCTTATGTAGGGTGGCAAACTGCTGGCAGGGGTGAGAGGGGGCGTCGGGTTGCCGGGGATGGGGCTGTGCTGGTAGCTGACAGAGCGCTGGCTTATTTCCTGTTGGAATTGCTGGAACACAGGTTGCTGTTGTGGCGGTGGTTGCTGCTGCTGCTGAGAATGGGGCTGCGGCGTCGGGTGCGGGTGCGGGGTCATCTGTGGTCCCATTTGGGGCCCTAATTGCGCTGCCATTTGGGCATTCATTTGCTGCTGCGACCCGTACTGGCTGTACTGACCGTTACTCACCTAAAGGAGAGCATTGAAATTATAATAAAAATATGCAATGCACTTTTAAGGCACAATTTTTTAATTTAATTAAAATAAAATAGAAACATGATTGATTTCTCATCAGTAAAAAATCAGGCAAAAATTAACTTTTTGATTTTGAAAAATAGCGTGAATAATTTTAGTACTTACCATTTGGCCGCCGCTGAAGTAGCCCTGGTTAGCCTGCTGGTGGGGGTAAGGGGGTGTGCTTTGCCTTCCTCGAGAGCTCATGCCGAAGCCTTGCTGTCCGACTGGACCGCCCTGCGGAGGACCCTGAGGGTGGCCCTGAGGATGACCTTGCGGATGGGCCTGGGAATGACCCTGAGGGTGGGTCTGGGGATGGCCCTGAGGGTACTGGTTGGGAAACCGTTGTTGCTGCTGCTGCTGCGGCGGGGGTTGCTGCTGCTGCTGCTGGAAGGGGTAGTGTTGGGGGCCGCCGTTGAAGCCTCCGGGGTACTGGCCGGCCATTTGTTGTTGTTGTTGCTGCTGCTGCTGTTGATGTTGTTGCTGTTGTTGATGCTGTTGCTGTTGCCGCTTCTGGGACATGTGCATGCCGGCCGAGGGGTAAGGAGCCATCCGGCGGGGGTTGGTGCCAGGATACATGGCACCACCACTCTGTGGACCCTGCTTGAATGAGAAACACCATGGTTAATGCCAGAATTAATTAAAAATAAACAAATTTCAAAAATTTTAAAATAAGAATATTTAATTTGATTACAATTGAACCATTTGAAATTTGGTTCTAATTTAATAATTGATATTCAATATTGCAAAAACTGATTTCAGTTGTTGTTTCTTTAGTTTTTGGCAATTATTTTAGAAGGAGAAATAAAATGTAACAATTTTTTGTCAAAAGAGACACTCAACACTCACCTGCATGGCCATCTTTCCAGCCATATTTTGCATCATATTGGGATTTTGAGGCATCGATCCGCCTTGGCTGCCCATCATCATGCCGGGGTTCATTTGGCCCATGTTGGGACCCATGCCAGGGTTGCCCATGGGCATGCCGCGCTGGTTGTACTGTACCATGCCTGGGTACTGCTGCTGTCCATGCGACATACCGTGCATCTGTAACAACCATAAACTCAATTGTAGCTTCACTTAAACTCATGAATTTTCTAAATTTTAACCACTCAACTCTTAGTTTGATAAAAATATTTCATTAAATCGCAATAATAAAGTTATCTATGACATTTCCCAATGAAAAGACACCAAAGATAAAATGTCAGAATATGGAATTCTTTGTTTCCAATCGCATTTTAATGAATTTTGGTAATTTAAGATTTATTTGAATTCAAATGCTAAATTCTTGTTCATGAAAGCGTTTAATTCATATTTGACTTGATACATTGTTGATCCAAAATTAATTACAGTAAATAAATATTATTTTTTTCTGTCTATTTTAATTTTGATTAATTGAGCACCTCTTGAGGGGCATGAGCGTGGGTGGAGTCGGGCGCTGCTCTCTGGCGCGGTCGCGAGCGGCAGTCGCCCGTCTAAATAAAGCCCACTGATAAACAATGAGAGAGCCGCTCTCGTCTCGTCTGCGTCACACTTTCTCTCGCAAGAGCCATAAAGCACACTTGGTGCTCTCCCGCGCGCGTACGGCGGCCTTGTGCTCAATAATCATTCCTCAAATACTCCCTAAACACTGAAAAATCTCGCAAGTGCAATCGGCTGAGCTGCTCCAATGGACTATTTAGCCGCCGCCGCCGCCGCTCGATTGCAAAATGAATAATTAATTTTTTCATGCCCGACTGCTAATTTTCGCCAAATCACACCGCGCGCGCACAACACACGAATTATTGCTGCTTTCAAAACTCTGACTTGCTAATTGAAAGAGAATTGAAAAGAGGTTAACTTTACATTACCCAAGATTAATTGACATTTAATGCAGCAAGGTTGCATTACAAAATTACTCAATAATAAGTGCAATTAAAATAATACTGAGGAAAAATCAAATAGAAAAATAGTTAATTGATTTGGGATATTTCAGTTTTTTAAGAAAATCATTAACTGTATTTTCATCTACTTAAATCTATGAAGACAAAATAAAATTGCATTAAAAAAAAAAAAATTATGAAAAGAAGCTTGAAATACTCGTTATACAAATGTCATAAATTAATATAAAGAATTAAAAAATTGACAGAATATACTTAATTTTCAATTATAAGGACATGCCAGTTAGGTTTATTTGAGTTGGGAAAAATACCCTTTTAAAAATTTATAAAAACATCGATCAGTCAAATATGACACAAAAATCTACAGGAAGGTTCTTTACTTGAATTTTATGTAGCAAATAAGACTATTTTCAAAATAAATTCTTACCTGGGCATACTGCTGGCTCATGTCTTGTCGTTCCTGCAGAGCAACAACGCTGGCGGTGGCCGTTGCAGTGGCCGTGGCCGCCGCTACCATGGCCGCCGTGCTGAGCGCCGAGTTAGGGGCGCCGTACTGCGCCCCGGAAGCGTCCCCAGGGTTGGGGCCCATGTGAGGGTTGCTCATCACACCGTTAGGCCCTCCACCGTACCTGAGAACAAATTTTGCACTCTTTTATTGCTGCAAATTTTTATGGATTGATTTCAATTTGGCAGACGAATTAAAGGTCGGAGCGTGGTGAAAATTAAGAAAGAGTCTCATTTCTCGGCCAAGACCAAGAAGACGGCATTTCTTCGCGCAAAGGGCAAGAAGCGTGTCAAAACGAGTGGAAAGCTCACGATGGGTTTCTCTCGCACGGCCTCGCACGCCGGGCCGCGAATTTGTGCAAATGTATGAGTACTTGTAGCGCAATAATTATTACGATTCCGCGGGCGAGAGAGAAAGAGGAGCTTTCTCGCCAAGGCCCACTTGCCTTTTGTCCGATAAGACCCACGTTCAGACTTTTTTTTTCATGTAAGTTGTCTCAGTTTAAACCTTAAAATAAATAAGCTCATCGGAAGGTTATAGAAATGGTATTTGCAAACATTATCAAAAAATTGAACCAATTAAATCTTTTACTATGTAAAATAAAATAATCAAATCTTGTGACGAATTGCTAAAAATGAGAATATATTATCATCAGTCGAATGAATTAAAATGTGTAATAACTCATTGGTGGTTAAATGCAGCAAATTAATCAATTGGTAATGAAATAATTTCACATTATTCCAAAACTTGCTTTGATTTATAAATATTAATTTAATCATTATTTAATTAGTATTACTATTATATATTATTAATTAATATTATATTGTAAAAATATAATAAATAAAATAAAAATAATAATAAATATAATAAAAATATAATAATAAATATTATTGTTTTATTTTTTAAATAAAGCGACTTTTGAACTTAATGGCATTGTTAGAATTCCACGGTTATATGGATAATACTGATTTTTCAATATATTTTCTGTATAATTATGTTATAATATAAAAACAAATTAAATCAGGGTGTTAATTTAATGAAATTAAAAAAATTATAATAAGGGATAGAAAATATTAAGTTTTCTTTTTAAAATATATTTGGATCCTTTTAGACGTTTATATCATTCACATTAAATTTGTCTTTTAAATAAAGACATAACTGAACTCTTATCAGAAATTAATTGCGAGAGGAAAAATTTGCTACTCACCCATTGTTGGGGTGCGGTTGCGTGGGCTGCCTGTGGTGGTAGCCTTGTGTGAAGGTTCCGGGCTTGTGGCCGCCTCCAGCGGCCGTCTGGGGAAAGGCGGCCGGACCGCCGTAAGAGGCGGCCGTCGTGTGGTGGGGGCCGGCCTGGCTGGTGGCCGTGACACCCCACACCGTGGTCACCACCGAGAGCTGCTGGGCAGAGCCGCCGCCTGGCGACCACTCCCTGAAACAAGACGAAGCCGCACGTGAGACTCGAGACAAACAGTCCTACCCGACAACAGTCCAAGTCGAACCGACCCGATCGGGACTCGAAGCCGCGACTTTAGACAAAAATCACTTTCCCTTTCAATGTCAATGCCGATCTTTTTTGATGCGGTTCCTATCAGTGGGTTTTTTTGCTTCCGATAAGCAGCAGCGAGATAAGGACACGCTCGGGGGAGGAAAGTAAAAAGGATTTTCAATCCAGAGATTACTTCGACTTACTGACAGAAATCAGAATTTTCATTTATTAACGTGCAACGTTTAAATAAAATACCTTGACATTTTTTTAGTTGAATATTTAATTTTAGACGAATTTTAGAATAATATTAATTTTTTAAATTTTAGATTTTTGAAGACCTTCCTTTTTATTTCATGAGGAAAGTTTTCAGCGGTGTACTTATATGAACGAGGAAAATTGCAGCCGGAAAGGGCCAACCGTTGATAACTTTCAAGAAAAGAGGGTGATTAAAGAGTTGTTTGCTGATAATATTTCTTTTGCTCGTGGCTGGGCAAAACACGGGTACAACTCTGATTCGCCGGCCGCAGTTTCCTGAACTTTCAGTAATTCTTTCTACAAAAGAATTCCTACAATGCAGGAATTACTTTTATCAGCGGCACCTGTGCGTTTTCCGCTTCTGTGGCAGCCTATTTTGGACATTATAATGTACGCCAGCTTTTATCAGTTTGAGGAAAATGGAAATCAAGAGCGGTTAAAAAGGCTCGTTCTTCAACCTTTTTTTAAAACTAACAATAAACTCGTATTTGAAATCCTCTGGTATTTTCGGGTGTTTTTAAATCTACCTGTTGGCGGCTGTGGGGCACTGTCTCGCGAATGGCGCATAGTGCATCGCTGGAGGGATATGTCTGAGCAGCTGGGTCATCAGGGGTCATAGGTCAGGCCGGGGTCACCGCCCTGTCTGGACACTCATTTCACTGCACTTTGCTGTTCGCACTGAGCACCGAACATCAATCGGCCACTGAATTGGAAAACTGTGATATTATCCTTGCGTATGCACGTGTATCGTCCTTTCCGAACCGAGGTCGCGGCCAGACTGCTGGCGGTCGAGCGACTCGGCGGCCCCGCGGGAGGGGGGACGCCGTGTGGCGGGAGGGGCGACCCTCGTCCGCCCGTCGATCGTGCACATACGTCCCGGCAGACAGCACGTACCATTGTTCTCAACACGAAATTCTAAACGCGTCTAATGAATTGTTTCCATTCAAAAGCTAATTTTCATTAAAATTTGGAGAAAAAAATACTTTAAGGGAGAAAAAAATTAAAAATTTTGATTTTTATACAAGAATAAAATTAAATTTTCTTATTATCTTGATCATTACAATTAAAATTAATTCCAGATTATTCAAATTTACAGCGATTCTAATGGTGTACGGATTCAAATCTCATTCATGATGCATGCTAGATATAATTGCATTTATTATTCTTTTAATTTCTTCAATTGTTAATAATAAACTAAATTAGCTTTAAATGATTTATTTTCAGTCTATTTGAGGCGATTATTTTTTAACAATGACTAGCGCTGTCACTTTTTCTCCTTAAAAGGAACACTTGAAAAATTTGAATATGAAGTTTTCCTCTTTCGCATTGGAGAACGTGGTGAACAATCAGAAAATATTTGGGGCGTGTGATGCGCGTCAAGAGAAAGCACCGCGGCTGCACCTCGCACTGCACAGATCGTGACTCTTGGACGCGCAGATATACGATTTGTGTGTTACTTCTTTCCTCGCATTTCGGCCGCCTCCTTGTGTTTTGTTGTTATTACTATTATTATATATTGTGCATTTCTAAAGAGCAGTTAGGATTCAAAATAAATGTCCGTGTGCGCCGCCGCGCGCGCGTCACTCCGCTATTTATTTATTTACGCCGCCTCGCCAAATTGCGCCAGCTCGAAATTCCTGCGCGCTTCTCCCTCGGCCGCGTTAACAGCACTTTAACCTTATTGCTCTTTAATAGCGGTCGTGATTGTTCTTTGTTTCTGAAGAAAAATCAGAACTCTGCGAACTGGAATCAGTCTGAAATCCGGCAAGATGGCAGATCAAGTTCAAATCAATCACACTGTGGCCGGGAAAGAATCTCTCTTTTCATTTCAAAACTGCTTGTAAATTTAGCTAAATACAAAAAGCATAAATCACTACAATTTTCATTGCATATTTAAAAAAAAACTTTAATTCAAACACAAAAGAAATACGATTTTTTTTTTAGTTCTAACAAGATTTAATTATCAAAGGTGATAAGATTTATTTAAATTAAAATTTTAATTGATGAAACTTGCAAAAAGTTTTATTATTGTTTTTCTTTATTTGTTTAATAATGTTAAAATCATCAAAGCAAGAATTTTACTGAAACAGTAAAAATCATTTAATATGAAAATAATTATTTTATAAGTTATGCAACAAATAACGCGCAAATCTGTGTTTAAATGGACGGTTTTTACTATACACGTGCGTTCGGTGCGTTTATCAAGAATTTTTTTTAGTCTGTAGGCACCTCGCTTATCATGCTACTGATAATGTTTTTAAGCAGCCTCAAGCGGAAACTTTTACGCTCGGGTCTGCAGGGCACACACTTGAAAGTCGCGACGAGTATCAAGCGACAAAAGTCAGTTTGCAGTGCTGGTCTGGTAATTTCATAATCGGCTCGTCGGCGGGCCCAGAACAAGATAATTGCCTTTTAGCATGCATATTCATATATAGGGTTCCTCCGTTTTTATCAATCGCTGGAGTTGTGATCCAAACGCGTGAGAAAAGTCGCCGGCCGGAAGCGGCGAACACAAACAAATGGAGCACACATAGGAAATAGTATGATTGCCCGTCCGCGCCCTCATCGCCAGACACAATAATCCTCTTTCGCCCGAAAGTCGGGGGATTTTCGTCTACTGTAAATTAGAAGCTATGGGAATCGGTCGCTGGTTTTTTTCACCTAGCTGTTAACACAGTGCACTGAACGGAATAAAAAATATGGAAACCTCTATATTCATCAAACAAGTGTTTCTTTCTTTTTGCATGGAGGCTTGCTTTGTAATTTTAATAACGGAACAGATCAGTCAAAGTAGCAAAATCGGCCACTACATCCGCAGAAATGGCACATTTATGTAATGAGAGTGCAGTCAGACTTCTCTGTTTTAACATATACAACAGAGAAAAAGCCAACTTCCTCCTCCGCGCACCACGCAAATTCGACCGTGAATTCCTTCCACCTGTAAAAAAGCATTCGCGGTCAAAAATTATAACGCTGCCGTGCGATTCGACCGTGAATAACTTCAGAAACAAAGAGTTCCTGCCTCGATTAGTGCGAAAAGCGGGGAAAGGAAACTCATTACTGTTTTTTGACTAGTACTCAAGCGATAGTGTCTCCCTAGCTAAGCAAACGGGAACTAAAAAGTTGAGGTCTGGAATCAGATCATATTGAACAAAAAGTGCTTAGTTATTAAGAGTCAACAATTATATAAAAGTCACAAAATAATTAGAAAGTCTAAAAACGCTTAACAGAAGTTGACAAATTTTCTCGGTATTCCGAAATAATTTAATATTTTGGGCAGATGCAATTTTGGTTTTTGATTTAAGAAAGAATTGAGAGATATATAGAAATTACTTTGATCAATGTTCTGGCCCAGTGCGAATTTAATTTTGTTACTTACTGACAACAGAAGCAACAAGTCCGATCTCGGCCCATCCGAGTGTGAAACTAAACGCGTCAGAAAACGGGGGCTTGTTCCGTGATTGCTTTTTCGCGCACGGCATTAGCGATCGGGGACCCTTCATTTCCTCTGTTTGGCGGGCATTTCCATTGGCACGTGGAAATTGACGTGCGCAAACCGCCGCTAATGGCCTTTCCCGATACTCGGCAGGACGAAAAATGACCATTTTCAAGGCTGCCGGATTCCTGCTCTGAACTCAATCAAAACTGTGCGATTCCGCGCCGAAGACAAACGTATTGGTCGTGTCCCGCGCATTGAAAAATCACGACTTACGCGTGATGAGCATCGAGAATGAGGTCATGAAGGTTACCAGAGCCATAGCCTATAGCAGCATTATTTTTGCGGCGGCTCGCCTGATAGCGTTTTGCAGATAACGACGACGTTCGCACTCACCAGACCCGCCAACAATTAATCTTGTTCGCTGCGCGCAACCCGAATACTTTTTTTCATTTTGCACAGCAGAGTTCGTTCCCATGCACGGCAGAGCAAGAAGCACGTCGGGTGAATGACGGCCCAGCGCAGAGAGACGAGAGACTGCGAAAAAGTTTCAGCTTCTCTTTGAAAGTTCAAATTCAGCAAAGATTTATCTTATAAATTAGGAAAAGCAGGTTCAGGACAAAGAAGATTTGCTCTTCCAAGAGTATATCATAAGCCATTATAGTTTAAACTAATCCACAAATTTACATCATTTTGTCAATTCCAATATAATATTTTGTTCTTCGTGTTTCTGCCAGGATTTCATGCATTTAAATTTTTATTTTGAGAAGAATCACAATTTTTTGTAAATATCTCAACTAAGACAGAGGAAGTGAGACGATTTGATGGGTGGGGAATGGGAGACAAGTGAGGTCTCCTAAACCCCTAAAAATATTAAATAGGGAGGAAGATTATAGCAGAGGAGCCAAAATTTAAAGACTTTAAAAAGGGAGGAGAGGAGAATAAAGATTTGTAGAAAGAGGGATGAAATAGGACAAGATAAATGTAGATCTTGGAGTGAGGAAAGATTGGAGCCAGCGCTGGACTGGCGTCGCCGCATTAATTAAGAATTAATTGTAGAGTGCATCTGGGGACTAGGATATGTTCACAATAATATTCTATTTGCGTTGAAGGTGAATGAGTTTGTCGCACACGCGCTGCACGCACATGAGCGACCTAAATCTCGGCGTATATCCTACAGGGGGTTGGCGTCCGTCTGCCATAAGGGGGGCGACTGGACCGGAGGTCTCTGGAAGTCCATCTTCTATAAATA